TTTTTTTTTTTTTTTAAGATTAGCAATAATACAACAAGGAGATTTTATTAGCAACGAAAGACAAATATTCAGACATTCTAATCAGGGTCAATAAGAATAAGTACATTATTAACCATGAAAGCATGTAATTTCAACAACCCCTTTAAAATACGGTTATGACATACACCATTTCAATTAAAAATGACCCTAAATATTCCGACGCCTATATGCAAGAGTACAGTTGTTCGACAACCTAGATGCAAGAGTATAGAATACGTATCAATAAAATTTGACAACAACAAACCTAAATGCAAGAGTACGTACTTGTTCGCCATTACTGCGACAAGCTTCTTGAACCAGTGGCCACAAGAGAACATTTCAAATTGATCGACAGTTTTTGAATTTAAGGTTCTTAGTAGTTTGATTTTGAATTTAGATGTGAGGGATCTGCTTAATTTTATTTTTATGGCACAAATCGGATTTTTATATGTATATAGAAGATGAGAATATGTGGCATTTAAATTTCTCGTTTTTATTTTCGGACTTCCACGCGTGTTTTTGATTTCCACGTGAGTTTTCGACGATGCCACGTAAGAAAGCATCTGCCGATTTTCTTTTGGCATGCTTCGATTTGCCAAATGTCTAAAGCTGGTGTATTTAGTTGCAAACTTTGAAGGGTGCGGTGATTAAATTGCAAAAAGTTGAAAGGTGGTGTATTTTGATGCAATTTTGCCTTTTGTATATTCTTAATTTTTTCAAAATATAAATTTATTCCCAAAAACTATTTTCATTAATTTTATTAATTAAAAAAAAAAACACAAATAATTCTTCTAATTTTATTTTTTTAATACTACTATTATTATTTAGATAATAATTTATGATAATATTTGAATTATGCATTCATAATTGTAATCATTATATCTACACTTTCAACTAACTAATGCCACACTTTTCATCTATAAATCTTGGCAAAATATTCATTCATTTAGATCACGAAAAACGAAAACACAGCTAAAGAAAGAAAACTTGTCCTAGATGGTCATGGATAACCAATCACCTCTACTAACTCTAGTAATTTTAATCACCTTGATTCTGACTTTCATTCTAAACTCCTGGGCCCGAAAGCCCTCGAAGCTCCCTCCGGGTCCATTTCCCTGGCCCATCATCGGAAACATCCTCTCCCTTGGCCCGAAACCTCACCAGTCGCTTGCCAGGCTGGCCCAAAAACACGGACCCGTGATGTCCCTCAAGCTCGGAGCCATGACAACAGTCGTCATATCCTCGCCGGAGACCGCCCGAGTCGTGCTTCAGCAACACGACCTGACCTTTTCTAGCCGGAAGATCCCTGCCACTGGCCGAACCTTAGGGCAAGACGAATTCTCGATTACATGGCTCCCCGTGGGCGGGCTCTGGCGCAAGCTCCGCAAGATATGCAGGGAGCAGATGTTCTCAAGCCCCCGGCTTGACGCAAGCGCCGGCTTGAGGAGGGAGAAACTGGGCCAGCTCCACGATTTTGTGGCGTTGTGTTGCGATTCGGGCCGGGCCGTGGACGTGGGGGAGGTCGCGTTCGTCACGTCCTTGAACCTCATGTCGGCCACGCTTTTCTCGAAGGAGTTCGCTGGGTTCGGGTCGGGCTCGTCGCATGAGGTCAGGGAGCTTGTCACGGGCGCGATGAGGTGCCTCGGGCGCTCGAATCTTGTGGACTTTTTCCCAATTTTGAAATGGATCGACCCGCAGGGGATCCAGCGGGACGCAGAGTACTATTACGGGAAACTGTTTGAGATTTGTGATGGAATTGTTGAGAAGAGGATTCGACAATTTACGGGCGAAAAGGACGATTTGCTCCAGGCGCTTGTTGATCTTCATCACAAGGGTGACATGAGCATAACTGATATTCGCAATATCCTACCGGTAATGTTATGCTTAACCGCCTTTTTTTCTTTTTTCTTTTTTTAAATATACTTGCTTTTCATCTACTTGGTCAAATTTCATTTAGGAATTGTTGGTTGCCGGCTCGGACACCACGTCCAGCACGGTGGAATGGGCGATGGCAGAGCTCCTACGCAACCCTTTGAAGCTAACGACACTGAGAAATGAAATCAACAGAGAAATTGGTGCGCGGTTAGTCCAAGAATCGGACATCCCGCGCCTCCCTTACTTACGAGCCGTGGTCAAGGAGACTTTACGACTTCATCCAATCCTCCCTTTCTTGGTGCCACGTGAGGCAAACACCGATGTCGAGGTAAACGGTTATATCGTCCCTAAGGGCGCGCAAGTCTTGGTCAACATTTGGTCCACCGGCCGGGACCCCAACGTGTGGCCCAAGGCGGATGTCTTCTGGCCCGAGCGATTTTTGGGAGACTCTGAAGTCGACTTTAAAGGTAAATATTTCGAGTTGATACCGTTTGGGTCAGGAAGGAGGATGTGTCCTGGCATGCCCCTTGCAAACCGGATGTTGCACCTCATGATTGCAACGTTGGCGGGGAGTTTTGGGTGGCGGCTCGAGGGAGGGGTCCAGCCGGGAGAATTGGATATGGACGAGAAGTTCGGGCTCTCAGTCGAGAAGGCCGAGCCTCTCAAGGCGGTCCCCGTGGACGTGAGGTCATAATGCTTGAAGTTGGAACACTACTTATGTTTTAAGCCTTAAAGAAGAAATCCAATGTTGTTTTGTGTTTGAACATTACTGATATTTTGTTGTTCATTAGAACAAAGGCAATGTGTGAATTGCATGTTTTGTGCTCAAGTGGCTTTGCGACTAGGTTCCATATGCAAATGAATAATGATAGCTTTGTTATTGTCCTAGAACTATTAATAATAAATCCTATGATCTGTTAAACGAAACGAACAGCTTTGTGTTGAGTTGCTTATGCTAAAAACCTTAAACATCGTATCATACGCTTAGATATGTAAAACCTTTGCAATCTGACGAGCACTCTAGGGAGTCTCGTTCAAGGTCGTCACGATCTTGGAAATTCGAGGGTTGAACTTCGGCCTTTTCTTTTGATCATGTCAAATCAACAATCCAAACATTGGTGAAACAGTAGAAGCCAATGGGGGGG